AGACAAACTACAGTACCACAGAGAAGGAACTTCTAGCAATTATCTTCGGTTGCAAAACATTCCGACCATACCTGTATGGTCGTAAATTCCAAATCATCACAGATCATCAGCCACTCAGGTGGCTCTTCAACCACAAAGACCCGAGTAGCAAATTACAACGCTGGCGATTAAAACTCGAAGAATACGAGTATGAGATCGTTTATAGAAAGGGCAGACTCAACTCCGCTGCAGACGCACTCTCCCGCTATCCAGTAAACCCTATTCTTCCAAACCAACTCGAACCTCAGAATAATGACAATGACAGACATCGGCCATTCAGCCCTCTGACACTCGATGATTTAGGCGTAAACATCCCTTCAACACCCGACTACGACAGCAGCAGCTTACCCTGTATAGATTTATTAGATGACGACGAGTTCCCTTATAACTATAGCCCCACTAATCCTCAAGTGAAATCTCCCAAGCCTGATGACCTACTTGAACCAACTCCATCAACTTCAGCCCTAGACCCGGCTGTACCCATGGTCGTAGCCCCTGAAACTCAAGAAAACTTACCTGAAGCGACTCCCTCAACTCCGACTCTAGATCCTGCCATACCTTCTACCTCCAACCCTGAAATTCAAGTTCACTTACCTGGACACTCTCCGCCATTCGTAGAGCAACCGCAACCTTCACCAGACCCTGAAAACTTATCTCTGTCTCCTCCACCGACTCAAGATTCCTCTCCAACTCCCAATGACATTTACTCTAATGGTGAGTACTCCAAATTCCTTAAAGAAATCAGTAATAAAAATAATCAATTCGACACCGTTATCATCGAACACAACCAATCTCTAATTAAAACTCACTGCAAGGTCATTCTAATCCCCGTTTCTATCGATCTAGACGAATCCAATCCTTATTTACCAAGTATCCTAGAAAATCTAACAAATGAAGAACGTTATAAAGAAAGACAGTTATACTATTTCGATAAGATCCAAACGAATTACAACAAGGATATTTACCTTATTTTCCCCAAAGTACACCATTTTGACGAATGTACCTACCCTGAAATCTACCAAACTCTTAAGAATATTAAGACTCACCTCATATCGACCACGGAAACCATATCCGAAATTGCCATCTCAGACTTTAGAAGTCCATTCGATAGACTCTCTTTTGCAAAACTTTATAATATGTTTCTATACATCTTTCATAACTCAAATATCCAAGTAAACATATATCACGATAATATAATTTATCCAACCCTTAGCGAAATCAAGAAGATTTTAAAAGAAAATCACGACCTTCCTATTGCCGGACGCCTCGGCTGCAATAGAATGCTAAACCGCATCAAGGAAAGATACCATTGGAAGGGCATGAAGAGCGATGTAGAAACTTACATCAAAGCCTGTTCGTCATGTCAGCAAAACAAAGCCCTCCGTCAACTCAATCGTGCACCCATGCAGATTACCACCACATCTACCAGCCCGTTCCAAAGAATAGCATTAGACATCGTAGGTCCCTTGCCTGAGTCCGGGCCAGCCAAACTAAAATATATAATGACTCTCCAAGACGATCTAACTAAGTTCTCTGTAGCCTATCCTCTGCGCAGTGTTTCCTCGGAGGAAACAACTGATTGCCTAGTTCATTTCATCTCTCTTTTTGGAATACCTCAGACCATCCTCACTGATCAAGGCACTAATTTCACGGCCGACCTCTTTAAGAAAACTTGCAGTTTCCTAAAAATCAAACATCTATGGTCCACTCCTTATCACCCGCAGACTCAAAGAGCTCTTGAAAGAAGCCATTCTACTCTTAAGGAGTATTTAAAGTCCTACGTCAACGAAAATCAGAACGATTGGCCCCGTTACGTATACACTGCAATCCTAGCTTATAATACGGCAACGCATAGCACCACAAACTTTTCGCCATATGAACTATTATTTGGCCACAAAGCTTTCATTCCTGACTCTCTCTATAGTCAAGATCTCACTACATACCCCGACTATGTTAGGATGCTCCAACATAGGCTTAAACTTTCTTGGGAAAAAGCATACGACAACATACAACATTCAAAAGAAAGATCGAAAGGTTACTACGACACTAGAACTCGACCCATCCGGTACAAAGTGGGTGATCACGTCTATCTGAAAAACCATTTAAGGCTCCGTAAGGCACTTTCCCCGATTTGGAAGGGCCCTTACAAAATTCTTGCCGTCCACGGAAACAATACTGCGACGCTTTTGATAAACAGACGCCACGTGAGACACCACTTTGATGAACTCAAGTTAGCGGGCGTTGTCCCTAGAGACCCATAAGTAAAATAAGATAGATCATAAGCAAATTTTTAATAGTAACTTTAGTAATATGATATATTAGTTCCCTAGTTATGAACGTAGTGTTATAGATTGTAGTTATGCGTAGTTATATGTAGGTATGTGTAGGTATTTATTCTTTTAATGTAGCCCTTATACTTTTCAGTGTGTCTACCTCGGCAGCAACAACCTTTGTTGAACCAATCTCCTCGAGCCCTGGCGTATATTTTGACTACTTAGGAAAGATCAGAATTACAAACGGCCATTTAAGTATAATAACCCCTATAGACATTTCCCATATACAGTTACACATTGAAAATATAAATTCTATACTAGGAACAGTCGCGTATTTTTGCAACAGAACACAAGAATTTGAATACACCGAATGCGAGAATATATTAGAACCTCTGTACAGTCGTTATAATGACATGATTAAAGAATACTCATCTATAATCCACTTGACCGACGATAGGGCAAAGCGCGCGGCCTGGATTGGCGGAATAGGCACCGCTTTGAAACAAATATTTGGCACCTTAGATGAGGAAGATGCAACAAAATACGATAACGCAATAAATCAAGTACAGGATGATCAAAAAAGAATCGCCTCGCTTGTAAAAGAACATATATTGGTCACTAGAGCTACACTAGTTAGATTTAATGAAAGTATTTATAAATTAAAAGCTAATGAAGATAATCTTAATCTTGCTATCGATAAACTCTCCCTTTCTTTGAATAGCTTGTCAAATAAAACTGATCACCTATCTGCAATCTCTGGATTGAATACAATTTACAATAATTTAGAAGCAGCAATGCTTACCTTATCCTTTCAACTCGAAGATATAACAAATGCAATACTATTTAGTAGTGCAAACATTATTCACCCATCTGTTATAACTCCACAAGAACTGTATAATGAATTAGTCGATAATTATAAGTACTTACCTGGCGAACTGAAATTTGTTATTCCTTTAGAATTAAGATTTATTCATGTAATTATAAATACGTCAAAATTAATCAGTTATTATGCTAATAAGAAAATAATGTTTGTAGTAATGATCCCTCTTGTAAACCCATTAGAATTGTATTTGTATAACAACATCCCGTTACCCGTACCTCACAACATAACCAACCCAAATTCATTTAGTATCATAATCCCTAGCAGTAAGTACATAGCTCTAACTAAGGATAAAACTCATTATAGTAATATGAATGATTTGTCAACTTGTAAAGCTATAAAAAATCAGGATTATCTGTGTAAAATCACTAATGTCTTTCCGACGTCTGCTAACCCTAATTGCGAGAGTGAATTATTGTCTAAAGTAGTTTCATCCCTTCCGAAATACTGTAAAACAGAGTTTATTACAGGCGAACTCGATATTTGGAAACCTTTATATAACAATAGATGGATATTTGTACAGTCTAAATCCAGTAAATTAACCATAGATTGTTTTAATTCAGAACCATTAGATATAAACATATTAGGTATTGGAATTGTAAATATTTTTTTTTATTTTTATTTAATTTATTTAATCAAGCAATATTACAATTATAATACATATTAAAGTGCAAACAAAAACCAGAAAGGTTTATTCGTGCACTAATACACGATACATACATAATATACCAATGCATTGCAAAGCTTATTGTAGAAGCGCCAAACTTATACCAGATGTTAATGTCCTAAACTTACCTTTGCAGTCAGTTAACCTAGATTTTAATTTGATCAACGATTCATGTTGTAACTTAAATAAGTTCAAGGAAAATTTGTAGAGCATGCCCTTACTAAAACTGAATAGTTTAAATTTCGAAGACTTACCTATTTCCAACAATGTAGACAAAGAAATGTTAAAAGAACTGAACGAAATTGTAAATAAACCCCATTTAATTAAATATGGGCCACATTATTCTGTACTTTTTATATTATTCATTGTTATCGCATTACTATCTTGTATCGTTGTTTTATTTAAAAGAATAAATAAGACTGGCAGTCATCACCGACGGATCCCTAAAATAGTCTTCAGGAAGAATATAGTAAGAAATAACCCAGAACCTGAAACTGTAGAACTAACCGACATACAGACAAAGATCGAACGCCCAGAAATCCCTCCTTCTCCTAAAATCAGAAGAAACCTCTAAATTAACGTCAATAAGTAACATAAACTTCAGAGTACTAACCCTGAAGTTTATTCTCTTAGGGGGGAGGTGTTACATCCCTTAGATGTTAGCTGTTGAGCTGACAGGCCAGCTGATGCTGCAGCATCAGCATTTTGTCCCCAGCCGACGCGCTCGCCTCTCGAGCGCGCCAGTCTCTCCCGAACCTCCGTGACGGCTGCCAAATTCACCTACACTATAATTTCTATGTTTAATTTCATTAATCCTTTTTTTTTAAAACGCCAATTCCGAGGCTCGATATAACAGTACCATGGTGGCGAGCGTGGCGGCCAGCAGGTCGAGGTCGTGCGGGCGGCGGCCGGTGGCCAGGCCGCGCGCCCCCAGCAGCGGGGGCAGCGCGGTCAGCAGGCGGGCCAGCACCGCCCAGCTGCGCTCGTGCGCGGTACGCACCATGGTGGCGAGCGTGGCGGCCAGCAGGTCGAGGTCGTGCGGGCGGCGGCCGGTGGCCAGGCCGCGCGCCCCCAGCAGCGGGGGCAGCGCGGTCAGCAGGCGGGCCAGCACCGCCCAGCTGCGCTCGTGCGCGGTACGCACCATGGTGGCGAGCGTGGCGGCCAGCAGGTCGAGGTCGTGCGGGCGGCGGCCGGTGGCCAGGCCGCGCGCCCCCAGCAGCGGGGGCAGCGCGGTCAGCAGGCGGGCCAGCACCGCCCAGCTGCGCTCGTGCGCGGTACGCACCATGGTGGCGAGCGTGGCGGCCAGCAGGTCGAGGTCGTGCGGGCGGCGGCCGGTGGCCAGGCCGCGCGCCCCCAGCAGCGGGGGCAGCGCGGTCAGCAGGCGGGCCAGCACCGCCCAGCTGCGCTCGTGCGCGGTACGCACCATGGTGGCGAGCGTGGCGGCCAGCAGGTCGAGGTCGTGCGGGCGGCGGCCGGTGGCCAGGCCGCGCGCCCCCAGCAGCGGGGGCAGCGCGGTCAGCAGGCGGGCCAGCACCGCCCAGCTGCGCTCGTGCGCGGTACGCACCATGGTGGCGAGCGTGGCGGCCAGCAGGTCGAGGTCGTGCGGGCGGCGGCCGGTGGCCAGGCCGCGCGCCCCCAGCAGCGGGGGCAGCGCGGTCAGCAGGCGGGCCAGCACCGCCCAGCTGCGCTCGTGCGCGGTACGCACCATGGTGGCGAGCGTGGCGGCCAGCAGGTCGAGGTCGTGCGGGCGGCGGCCGGTGGCCAGGCCGCGCGCCCCCAGCAGCGGGGGCAGCGCGGTCAGCAGGCGGGCCAGCACCGCCCAGCTGCGCTCGTGCGTCAGCGCCGTCACCAGCGCGCGCGCTGCCCGCCCTCCGTTCACCACGCACGCGCCCTGCACCAAAAAATTTAAATTCGTTATTAACATACGATCGATCGATTAGCAAAAATCGAAAGAGAATCAGCGATAATCAAATAAAAACAAAAATCATCATATTTCGAAATCCAAAGACGCGACTGTCGATGATGACGACACCCGACACTCGTGTGTAGCGGCTCACACCCAAAGGTGAAAAGTTAGAGCATATTCCACCTATGATGTTAAATGGAGTGTCTCCGAGGAGAGTGAATAGTTTTAAATATCTAGGTCCTGAGATTTGTAATAACTTAAATGACAAATTAGATATAAAAAGGGAACGGAGAGCGTTGACTGTGGTCTTGACGGACGGAAAACGAGGTCATCCTATACGGGTTCCATTTTTTCCTTTTTAGGTACGGAACCCTAAAAATTGTATACGGAGGGCGGTGAGGAAATTCTTATAGAATATATTTTCTAGAAAAAAAGGAACTCTGTCAAGGTTTCAGGCAGGACTCAAATCTGAGTGTTCCGCTGTCCAGGTGGATGCACTAACCACTAGCATTTGTGATAGTTTCTATAATAAAAAAATGATAATATCAAGTTCCCAATTTGCCCAGATGGCACTGATTATCTCATTATTATAAATGTATATAATTAACCTCATACTTAATATAAGACTCTAATATTTATATGTAAACAATAAAGGAGATTAGGCATTTTAGGAATTTTCATCTCTCAATTGTACACTAATGAAAATACTGCCAAAAACCGTTGTCTAATTATTGACGACTGAATACCAAATTTCAGCAATTTTCGTACTCTCAGAAAAAAATGCGATATTTGTAAAATTTAGAATGATTTCCTATGTGATAAGCCCGCCCAGTGCTTGGTGGAAGGTTGCTACATGGGAAGTCGGTCGTCTCGCCACCCCAAGCGATATCCGGATCCCGCGTTCCGAAACGTTAACTTAGGTTTCCAATGGGCCCAATTCTGGCGTGCCAACTTATATCTAAAACTAACTAAAATTAGATATAGAGTTGTCAAATTCAATTTGGTATTCTGTAATGACACACTATCTCTAAATTTAAAATTGACGTCGCTAAGTTATTCAACTTAGATTTAGATGATAAAATGGTATTCTGAAACGTGTTCTAAATGTCATATTTTCTCTAAAATTAGAAATGTCACACTAAATTTAAGAAGGACCTACGGAGGTCCTCTCTAAATTTAAATGTGTATAATCTGGCCAAATAGTAGGTAAATGATTGATGTACTTAAGTTTTGAACTTGTTGTTAAGGTTGGTTATAGGTTTATTTCGTTAAAATAAGCCATAAATTTTATACAATAATGAACGACGACGGTGATAATAATACCTATATTAGCTAGATCTTTTATTTTTTTTAAAAGGTAGATAAGTCTATGTTACGATGCGGATTTATTATGAGCCTATTAATGTGTCATGAGCCACCACGCAGGCCTAATGCGGCTTAGTGGGGGCTAATGACTGCAGATGCAGCGAGCAACAACATAGAAACTCGATTTAATACATTTTTGGTTGGTCACCCATCCTAAGATCGGCCATTGTGGAAGTTACTTAACGTTCACGATCGCAGAACGAACGCGTTACACTTGCGCTATTGTGGTCCTTCGTAGGTAATGTATACGTATATCTTGTATAAAACACTAAATAATTTAAGGTAAAATCTTTTTTAACATAAATAAAAATCCACTTCATAGGTATAAAAAACAAGCTAAAAAGGTAAGACATCTATGTGCTAATTCCTTAAGTAATACCTACAGTCCCCACTCATATCTAAAGTACATAGTCAAATAATTAACAAATAATAGGTACCTATGGTGTCAGCGATATGCATTCCAATCACCAATTCCAATCCAAATGTTATTTTGACTTTAAATGTAGGTACTTTAAACTTTAATGTATTTTGTTCCTTTGTTTTCAGTGGTTTAGTTTTTATGAAGCCATTTTTAATATTTGTTGGAAATGTTTTTATTTCCCACTTTTTATAAGCTAATTATAACCTAAGACGAAATAAGTTCCTACGGTTTGTTTGCTTTTATACATCCGAAAGTACTTGGCATTCACCAAATGATTAATTGGGATTTGGGACGATATCGCCAAAACTGATAGAAACAAAAAAAGATAAAAATAGGTTACGTTTCGTTACATCTCGGATTCTAAAATAAATGAGTACAAAATCTTCACAAAACAGCCGAAGGGATAATAACAACCTCTGACCGAAACCGAAATTTATAACCGTAGGTTCCTAGGAAATTTTCAAGGATGATATACGTTAGACCGTGTCGGCCGTAACAGAGTTAACTAATCATCATCATCAGGCTATTAATGTCTCCATTGCTGGGGCACAGGCCTTCCCTATGAATGGAATAGGGAGATTGGGCCATGACCCACCACGCGGGTCCAGTGCGGATTGACGGGTGCTAACGACTGCAGATGCAGCCGGGACCAACGGCTTAACATGCCTTCAGAAGTACGGAGAAACTCCAGATAGAAGATTTTTGGTCACCCATCCAATGACCGACAACTGCAAAAGTTGCTTAACTTCAACCTGCGCCATCAAGCTCCTCTAGTTAACTAATATTAAATAATATATTTTTTATGGATTATAGATACATTCAAGCTATTCCGTGCGGTAACCCACTGACAACCAAGCACCAAATGAAACGCTCCAACGCTCGGAAAAAACTTGGTCCCGCTTCGGCTCGGCCACGGCCCGTTGCATGAATACAGCGCGCCGGCGCGGTGCCGCCGGCCAATCGTAGTGATACCTCAGACAAAACAGAAACGTTTTCCTCGGACGAGTACACTTACCCTGTTTACTTTATCTGAATGATTAGACTGTATCACGGCGCAACGGTACCTACCTAATTGGTCGGTCGAGGCACGTCTTTGTAATTTACAGGTACGGGACCGTCTCGGTGACCGTGTTACGGCTGAAGCTCGGCTCGGACTCGACACGGTTAGGGACACGAAAATAGTATCGATACTTTGTGGCATCGAGTACTTTTCCTTTCGATACCGATACTTTTGTACTCGATACTTGGTTTTCGATACTTCAACTAAATAACTAAACTAAAAAAAGTATCGATACCTTTAAAATTTTGGATAAGCGCCTTATATTGATGGCAACGCCATCTAGTGGAATCATGGCAAACCTTCTAAAACATTCGATTGCGTTGATATAATTGGAAGCAGAAGCAATCTAGTGTGTCCTGAGACTTACGTACTTGAGTAATTCACGTTTAGTTTTGCAGTTGATTATATTAACATTACACGTTTTTAAGAGTATCTACATTGCTTATAAGGTCCTATGAAATGTACTCGATACTTTGAAGTATCGATACTTTTGTTTCAATACTTTTACGAGTACGATACTTTTTTTCCGATACTACTCATGAGTACAGTATCGATACTTTCTATTCGATATCGTGTCCCTAGACACGGTCTATCGTCACTGATCATCCTTAATAGATTTGTTAGGTAGCTACCAAAATCTAGTCGGTACCTATATTTAAATTTAATTTTAAAAGTGGCGGCTTTCCCCATCCTTTTGCCAAAAAAAACTTAGGCATGCTCTAAGAAAAAATATGATTCCTAAAGTTCTCCCCGCAGATTTAATATTTTCCAAGTTTATATTTTTCACCAAAACAAGGATAAACACTCCCAATCTAGAAACCCTAAGTACCACAGAGTAGGCAAGTATTCACTCTTTAATATTGATTCATAATATCTCATACAGTAAAATAACAAACTTATGTTAAGTTTTCATATTTCAAAGATGATGAAGAACAACAAAGAATTACTGAAATAAGTCAAAATCACTGAATAATAAGTATTTATTGCTAATTTGAGTGAACCGATAATTACCGGTTCAATGCTTTTACCTAATCTGTGAATTCAATTTAGATGTTCGTTTTCAGCTGTCACTTGTGATCTTAATTTAGTTAGTTCGCAATTTCAGAATACCAATTCACTAAACCTAAACTAAAATTAGCTCTCTAATTTTAAGTTTAGGTTTAGAGAATGTAACGCCAGAATTGGTCCCAATGTTAACCTATTAATGTTATTAACATTGTTAGAACTAGTCCAAGATACGAAAATACATATACAAAGAATAATAGAACATATTATTCGTGTGACTATGATTTATTTACGAAAGACGATTAAAACAAAAAATCCTTAAATAAAAGAATGTATACATACTCGGGGTTTCAGCAATACGTTTCGGAAAAATCACCGTTTTTCTGTCAATGTGAACAGTGTCTGTCAGTGTCACTGTGATCACAGTGAGAACTCAGATCTGTCAGTCAGTCGTATTCTCGCTATTGGCGTGTAAATTGATGCTAATGATGTAATGCTAAATAATAAAATGTGTAAACAAATGCTAGCTGCAGCACTGCTCAACCCCTTTTAGGATTGTGAGCGTGATTATGTGTATTTATGTAGGTAATATTAAGATTAGAGTAGTAGCATAGTAGCGGGGATCGTAAAAAGAGGTTATGTAGATATATTTCTTTAAAGTTCAATAACTTTGCTCAGAGAGTACGGATTTCGAAGTAATGAAAAAATCGTAAAAGTAATAAATATAAGCAATATTTTTAAGCTTATTTGATTGATGTACAAAAATCTTTAGTTCTTCCCCAAGCTCCATACTAAGATGCTCAATCTCCTTTCTTTATATATATATGGCACTGACCGGCGGCAGGTCGCGCTGGGCCGGCGCGGGCTGCGAGCGGGTGGCGAGCGGCTCGCACAGCAGCAGCGGGGAACATAACGGCCGCAGCCGCACCGATGTATACACTATATGGGGGGGGGGGGGGGGGGGGGGTCACTGACCGGCGGCAGGTCGCGCTGGGCCGGCGCGGGCTGCGAGCGGGTGGCGAGCGGCTCGCACAGCAGCAGCGGGGAACATAACGGCCGCAGCCGCACCGATGTATACACTATATGGGGGGGGGGGGGGGGGGGTCACTGACCGGCGGCAGGTCGCGCTGGGCCGGCGCGGGCTGCGAGCGGGTGGCGAGCGGCTCGCACAGCAGCAGCGGGGAACATAACGGCCGCAGCCGCACCGATGTATACACTATATGGGGGGGGGGGGGGGGGGGTCACTGACCGGCGGCAGGTCGCGCTGGGCCGGCGCGGGCTGCGAGCGGGTGGCGAGCGGCTCGCACAGCAGCAGCGGGGAACATAACGGCCGCAGCCGCACCGATGTATACACTATATGGGGGGGGGGGGGGGGGGGTCACTGACCGGCGGCAGGTCGCGCTGGGCCGGCGCGGGCTGCGAGCGGGTGGCGAGCGGCTCGCACAGCAGCAGCGGGGAACATAACGGCCGCAGCCGCACCGATGTATACACTATATGGGGGGGGGGGGGGGGGGGGTCACTGACCGGCGGCAGGTCGCGCTGGGCCGGCGCGGGCTGCGAGCGGGTGGCGAGCGGCTCGCACAGCAGCAGCGGGGAACATAACGGCCGCAGCCGCACCGATGTATACACTATATGGGGGGGGGGGGGGGGGGGGGTCACTGACCGGCGGCAGGTCGCGCTGGGCCGGCGCGGGCTGCGAGCGGGTGGCGAGCGGCTCGCACAGCAGCAGCGGGGAACATAACGGCCGCAGCCGCACCGATGTATACACTATATGGGGGGGGGGGGGGGGGTCACTGACCGGCGGCAGGTCGCGCTGGGCCGGCGCGGGCTGCGAGCGGGTGGCGAGCGGCTCGCCACAGCAGCAGCGGGGAACATAACGGCCGCAGCCGCACCGATGTATACACTATATGGGGGGGGGGGGGGGGGTCACTGACCGGCGGCAGGTCGCCGCTGGGCCGGCGCGGGCTGCGAGCGGGTGGCGAGCGGCTCGCACAGCAGCAGCGGGGAACATAACGGCCGCAGCCGCACCGATGTATACACTATATGGGGGGGGGGGGGGGGGTCACTGACGGCGGCAGGTCGCGCTGGGCCGGCGCGGGACTGCGAGCGGGTGGCGAGCGGCTCGCACAGCAGCAGCGGGGAACATAACGGCCGCAGCCGCACCGATGTATACACTATATGGGGGGGGGGGGGGGGGGGGTCACTGACCGGCGGCAGGTCGCGCTGGGCCGGCGCGGGCTGCGAGCGGGTGGCGAGCGGCTCGCACAGCAGCAGCGGGGAACATAACGGCCGCAGCCGCACCGATGTATACACTATATGGGGGGGGGGGGGGGGGTCACTGACCGGCGGCAGGTCGCGCTGGGCCGGCGCGGGCTGCGAGCGGGTGGCGAGCGGCTCGCACAGCAGCAGCGGGGAACATAACGGCCGCAGCCGCACCGATGTATACACTATATGGGGGGGGGGGGGGGGTCACTGACCGGCGGCAGGTCGCGCTGGGCCGGCGCGGGCTGCGAGCGGGTGGCGAGCGGCTCGCACAGCAGCAGCGGGGAACATAACGGCCGCAGCCGCACCGATGTATACACTATATGGGGGGGGGGGGGGGGGTCACTGACCGGCGGCAGGTCGCGCTGGGCCGGCGCGGGCTGCGAGCGGGTGGCGAGCGGCTCGCACAGCAGCAGCGGGGAACATAACGGCCGCAGCCGCACCGATGTATACACTATATGGGGGGGGGGGGGGGGGGCACTGACCGGCGGCAGGTCGCGCTGGGCCGGCGCGGGCTGCGAGCGGGTGGCGAGCGGCTCGCACGCAGCAGCGGGGAACATAACGGCCGCAGCCGCACCGATGTATACACTATATGGGGGGGGGGGGGGGGGGGGGTCACTGACCGGCGGCAGGTCGCGCTGGGCCGGCGCGGGCTGCGAGCGGGTGGCGAGCGGCTCGCACAGCAGCAGCGGGGAACATAACGGCCGCAGCCGCACCGCAGCCGCGCCCGACACGGCCGCGCCGCTACTGTCGTAGCAGAACCCAACGCAGTTGAGCGAGTTCACGCGCAGAGCTAACACCATGTCCAGGATCTGAGGGCGAATATTATGATACTTTAAAAAATGGGTACAATTAATATGAAATTGGACTAATTTGCGTCAAATTGGTAGTTTTGATTTTTTATAGACCAGCTTGAAATGATGGCCCAACGAAAAATCTAAATTTTTGACCTCCAAGTTTGAAAAATCGAAAAGACCTCAAAAATCGATGAAACGGCGAAAAATTCGGCTTTATTCAAATTTTGAAGATTATACCTTACCTTAAAGGATTAGTTTTAAAAAAAAAATGTTCCTAAGACTTTTATACGGCCGCGGCTAGAATCTTCAAAAATCTGGAAATAGTCGAGATTATGGATTTTTCCGTCCCGGCCGCATCGACAGTCGCTAGCATTGCAGCAGTCGCGCGCGGCACAGAGGGGAGGGGAGAGGAGGGGAGGGCTGACCTGCACGCGTATCTCGGGCCGGTGCTGCAGCAGGTGCGGGCGCTGGTAGTGCAGGTGCAGGTGGTCCAGCAGCACGAGCAGCGCGCGCGCGGCGTGGTGGGGGGGGGGCCTGACCTGCACGCGTATCTCGGGCCGGTGCTGCAGCAGGTGCGGGCGCTGGTAGTGCAGGTGCAGGTGGTCCAGCAGCACGAGCAGCGCGCGCGCGGCGTGGTGGGGGGGGGGCCTGACCTGCACGCGTATCTCGGGCGGTGCTGCAGCAGGTGCGGGCGCTGGTAGTGCAGGTGCAGGTGGTCCAGCAGCACGAGCAGCGCGCGCGCGGCGTGGTGGGGGGGGGGCCTGACCTGCACGCGTATCTCGGGCCGGTGCTGCAGCAGGTGCGGGCGCTGGTAGTGCAGGTGCAGGTGGTCCAGCAGCACGAGCAGCGCGCGCGCGGCGTGGTGGGGGGGGGGCCTGACCTGCACGCGTATCTCGGGCCGGTGCTGCAGCAGGTGCGGGCGCTGGTAGTGCAGGTGCAGGTGGTCCAGCAGCACGAGCAGCGCGCGCGCGGCGTGGTGGGGGGGGGGGCCTGACCTGCACGCGTATCTCGGGCCGGTGCTGCAGCAGGTGCGGGCGCTGGTAGTGCAGGTGCAGGTGGTCCAGCAGCACGAGCAGCGCGCGCGCGGCGTGGTGGGGGGGGGGCCTGACCTGCACGCGTATCTCGGGCCGGTGCTGCAGCAGGTGCGGGCGCTGGTAGTGCAGGTGCAGGTGGTCCAGCAGCACGAGCAGCGCGCGCGCGGCGTGGTGGGGGGGGGGCCTGACCTGCACGCGTATCTCGGGCCGGTGCTGCAGCAGGTGCGGGCGCTGGTAGTGCAGGTGCAGGTGGTCCAGCAGCACGAGCAGCGCGCGCGCGGCGTGGTGGGGGGCGGCAGGCAGGCGCGCGTGCAGCAGCTGCAGCAGGCCGGAGCACGCCGCCTGGCAGCACAACGTCTCCTCGCCTGCCTCCACCTCGAACGGACGGTTCAGGATCTGCAACGTATCAATCATGGTTACCGACCAAAGGAGGTATCGACAATTTGGTAGATAAAATTATAGCAATCTTGAAGAGAGTTAGTTATTTGTAAATAAGTGTTAAAAATTATTTTTAGTCACTTAATGGATATCGATAAACTGTCTAGAATACTCGACTCGCGTCATCCAGATCTGATCAGCCAAAAAATAGCAAAGTTCAGAAAAATATTGATCCTCATTATCATGTACCGTCATATGTAAACCAAAAAAAATATTCTGTCATCTATGAAAAAAGTTAGAGCAGTAAAAGTTAGTTTGCAAACAAAAAAGGTAGAACCCTTTTTGTTTTATCTCCAGCGGTTGATCAAGTCGGTGGTGGCGTCGGCCGTCAGTCGGGCGAGGTCGGCCGTCCTCGTGTGTAGTGTGAGGGGACAGAGAGAGGGGCACCTTCTCCAGCAGGTCGATGAGGTCGGTGGTGGCGTCGGCCGTCCTCGTGTGTAGTGTGAGGGGACAGAGAGAGGGGCACCTTCTCCAGCAGGTCGATGAGGTCGGTGGTGGCGTCGGCCGTCAGTCGGGCGAGGTCGGCCGTCCTCGTGTGTAGTGTGAGGGGACAGAGAGAGGGGCACCTTCTCCAGCAGGTCGATGAGGTCGGTGGTGGCGTCGGCCGTCAGTCGGGCGAGGTCGGCCGTCCTCGTGTGTAGTGTGAGGGGACAGAGAGAGGGGCACCTTCTCCAGCAGGTCGATGAGGTCGGTGGTGGCGTCGGCCGTCAGTCGGGCGAGGTCGGCCGTCCTCGTGTGTAGTGTGAGGGGACAGAGAGAGGGGCACCTTCTCCAGCAGGTCGATGAGGTCGGTGGTGGCGTCGGCCGTCAGTCGGGCGAGGTCGGCCGTCCTCGTGTGTAGTGTGAGGGGACAGAGAGAGGGGCACCTTCTCCAGCAGGTCGATGAGGTCGGTGGTGGCGTCGGCCGTCAGTCGGGCGAGGTCGGCAGCGGCTCGGGCGGCGGCGGACCGAAGCGACATATCTTTGTCTTGTGCGCACCACGTCAGCACTGGTAAGGCCACTGCCTCCACCACTTCCTCGCCGTACACCAATCTACAAACGACACACAAATAATAGTTATAACCCATATATTCAAATAGAGGTTACAAGTGTTTTTTAAATAATACTGGCACTTAACATGGCCATTTATGTTCGCTATTTGTGCTTTTTACAACAGGTTGTTTATAACGTACTCTATACGGAGTATTCAAATTGCTCTACAACAAATAATTTACGACTTCATAAATAACAACAGCTTAAAAACACTCGCGCCAGGATAGCGTTGAGCGTTCCCCCCTCTTGTAGTTCTGTCCTACAAAAGGGGGCGGCGGAGGGTTGCTTGGACGGGAACGCCCAAGAAGCCCTCCGCAGCGGACGGGGGGTACGGTGGGCACTAGGCCGCGAACTCAGCCCCCACGCGCGGGCCTACCCGCGCACGTCTGCGGGGTCCCCGTAATACGGCGGGAGACCCCTGCCGTGGAGCCCCGGCGAGGCCGGGAAGCTGCTGGGGGCGGAGCCGTGGTAGAATCCCTAACGGGGACCCTGCGGCACTAAGCAGTGAGGTATTCCGCAGGACTTTTTTAGCGGATATTATGCTGTAAAGCGCCCGTAAGAATTGCGGGGTCCTCAGTGGGTAGCCACTGGGGGGTCCGTAAGACTTGCGGGAGCCAGGTGTGAGGTCCGTTCGGCGGTGTGCCTCTTAAAGGCGCCGTCGTCTGTAAAAAGATTTTTTACCTGCGTTATTAAAAAAAAAAGGATAGCGTTGAGCGTGTGGTGCCGCAGCGCCGGCCTGGTGTCGCGCCGCAGGTAGCGCGTGTGTGAGGGTGGGTCACCATACCTGTCGCGCCTCACTCGCGCCAGGATAGCGTTGAGCGTGTGGTGCCGCAGCGCCGGCCTGGTGTCGCGCCGCAGGTAGCGCGTGTGTGAGGGTGGGTCACCATACCTGTCGCGCCTCACTCGCGCCAGGATAGCGTTGAGCGTGTGGTGCCGCAGCGCCGGCCTGGTGTCGCGCCGCAGGTAGCGCGTGTGTGAGGGTGGGTCACCATACCTGTCGCGCCTCACTCGCGCCAGGATAGCGTTGAGCGTGTGGTGCCGCAGCGCCGGCCTGGTGTCGCGCCGCAGGTAGCGCGTGTGTGAGGGTGGGTCACCATACCTGTCGCGCCTCACTCGCGCCAGGATAGCGTTGAGCGTGTGGTGCCGCAGCGCCGGCCTGGTGTCGCGCCGCAGGTAGCGCGTGTGTGAGGGTGGGTCACCATACCTGTCGCGCCTCACTCGCGCCAGGATAGCGTTGAGCGTGTGGTGCCGCAGCGCCGGCCTGGTGTCGCGCCGCAGGTAGCGCGTGTGTGAGGGTGGGTCACCATACCTGTCGCGCCTCACTCGCGCCAGGATAGCGTTGAGCGTGTGGTGCCGCAGCGCCGGCCTGGTGTCGCGCCGCAGGTAGCGCGTGTGTGAGGGTGGGTCACCATACCTGTCGCGCCTCACTCGCGCCAGGATAGCGTTGAGCGTGTGGTGCCGCAGCGCCGGCCTGGTGTCGCGCCGCAGGTAGCGCGTGTGTGAGGGTGGGTCACCATACCTGTCGCGCCTCACTCGCGCCAGGATAGCGTTGAGCGTGTGGTGCCGCAGCGCCGGCCTGGTGTCGCGCCGCAGGTAGCGCGTGTGTGAGGGTGGGTCACCATACCTGTCGCGCCTCACTCGCGCCAGGATAGCGTTGAGCGTGTGGTGCCGCAGCGCCGGCCTGGTGTCGCGCCGCAGGTAGCGCGTGTGAGGGTGGGTCACCATACCTGTCGCGCCTCACTCGCGCCAGGATAGCGTTGAGCGTGTGGTGCCGCAGCGCCGGCCTGGTGTCGCGCCGCAGGTAGCGCGTGTGTGAGGGTGGGTCACCATACCTGTCGCGCCTCACTCGCGCCAGGATAGCGTTGAGCGTGTGGTGCCGCAGCGCCGGCCTGGTCCCGCGCCGCAGGTAGCGCGTGTGTGAGGGTGGGTCACCATACCTGTCGCGCCTCACTCGCGCCAGGATAGCGTTGAGCGTGTGGTGCCGCAGCGCCGGCCTGGTGTCGCGCCGCAGGTAGCGCGTGTGTGAGGGTGGGTCACCATACCTGTCGCGCCTCACTCGCGCCAGGATAGCGTTGAGCGTGTGGTGCCGCAGCGCCGGCCTGGTGTCGCGCCGCAGGTAGCGCGTGTGTGAGGGTGGGTCACCATACCTGTCGCGCCTCACTCGCGCCAGGATAGCGTTGAGCGTGTGGTGCCGCAGCGCCGGCCTGGTGTCGCGCCGCAGGTAGCGCGTGTGTGAGGGTGGGTCACCATACCTGTCGCGCCTCACTCGCGCCAGGATAGCGTTGAGCGTGTGGTGCCGCAGCGCCGGCCTGGTGTCGCGCCGCAGGTAGCGCGTGTGTGAGGGTGGGTCACCATACCTGTCGCGCCTCACTCGCGCCAGGATAGCGTTGAGCGTGTGGTGCCGCAGCGCCGGCCTGGTGTCGCGCCGCAGGTAGCGCGTGTGTGAGGGTGGGTCACCATACCTGTCGCGCCTCACTCGCGCCAGGATAGCGTTGAGCGTGTGGTGCCGCAGCGCCGGCCTGGTCCCGCGCCGCAGGTAGCGCGTGTGTGAGGGTGGGTCACCATACCTGTCGCGCCTCACTCGCGCCAGGATAGCGTTGAGCGTGTGGTGCCGCAGCGCCGGCCTGGTGTCGCGCCGCAGGTAGCGCGTGTGTGAGGGTGGGTCACCATACCTGTCGCGCCTCACTCGCGCCAGGATAGCGTTGAGCGTGTGGTGCCGCAGCGCCGGCCTGGTGTCGCGCCGCAGGTAGCGCGTGTGTGAGGGTGGGTCACCATACCTGTCGCGCCTCACTCGCGCCAGGATAGCGTTGAGCGTGTGGTGCCGC